CAAATGACATTGAAAAAAAATACAGTTTATTTTTTTATGCCAAGTGTGATGCTATCCAAAATTTCTGGGGAGAACACTGGGATAAAAAAGTGGATATGTTGGATATAGGGGGTAGAAATGTGGAGATGTTTGATATAGGGGTTAAAAAAGTGGAGATGTTTGATATAGGGGGTAAAAGCGTGGAGATGTTGGATGTAAGGTGTAATAATGTGGAGATGTTGGATGTAAGGGGTAATTATGTGGAGATGTTGGATGTAAGGGGTAATAATGTGGAGTTGTTTGATTTAGGGGTAAAAAAAGTGGAGATGTTTGATGTAGGGGTAGATTTTAGACTGAAAGTTTTGTAATAAATAAATACAGCTAAAGTTAATAGTACATTTTTTAATTTTTTATATTTCTTTATGAAAAGAAATGGAAATGCCGTTTTGTACTGATATATAAACTCTAAAATATGAATCTTTGCATTATGATATGTGTTATCACTCCCCACATATAACTTTTTGTCTTTGTCAATTGCTAGACTTCCTAAATCATAGCCCAGGTTGATAAGATCCAATTCAGAATATCCAATAGCACTACCACTTTGTGATATAATGTGGAAAGTCTTTCCATATCTATATGGAGCATCATAAATTAAAATGCATCCAACTGAATTAATTACTGCGATATCTTCAGGACATAGAAAATAACTTGATTCCTCTTGAAAATCAGTACCATGATTTGTCCATTTTAACTCTCCATTCTGATCTATTCCCACAACCCTTCCTTTATTTTCTAACTTTTTTCCATAATAGTCTCCATAATGTGCCTTTTTAAAAATGTCTATAAAGCAGATTGTATTGTCTTGGTTTGTCACTATTCTCGTCGGACATACACTCAATTGTTTACGAGATTTATCCTGGTCAAATTCATGTATTCTTTTGATATTTCCTTTGGAATTCAAAACCACGATTTTTCCTGGTTTTGATACTTCGTCCACTTCATTGGGAAATCCAGCACTTATCCCAACTAGAATTTCATTTTCTTTGCTAACATGGATCCCAAATGATTTTACCGGAGAAAATGAATGGAAAGGTGCATGCAATACAATATCATTCTGCTTTAACAGTTTTAACTCACATTCTTGTACTGATAGCAGAACATCACCATTAGGCATGATGTCCATATCGAAAACTTTTGTTTTTGATAATTCCTGTTCAACTTTTACTTCAGATTTTTCAAACTGAATTTTCTGCAGAATTTCATCTTTGTAACTAGCTATTACTGCCTTACTATTATCCATTAATATAAGTTTTGAAATGCCTCTAAGTTTTGTTTCAAACGAAGTAACTTGCTTAAAATTGGGACCTTTCAACAAATTGCAGGTAAATTGATATCCAATTTCATTGGACAGTGTCTTCCTTCTAGTCTCTTCCAATATTGTAAAAAAAGATTGTTGAAGTTTCTGGTGATAAACTGAGTTATTAACGTTATAATACAAATTTTTTGGATATTTTTTAGTTAGCATCTTAAATGGTGTAGTTCCTGAGATAAAATTTCATCTTCCTAAACAAACAGGCCTTTTACTCGATCAACTTCTTTCATTTCATCCTTCACCATTTTTTCAATATTCTCCCATTCAGATTTTATTTCTTCAACAAGCGATCTAAAATATACTTTAGTTTCAGAAAGTAACTGTCTTTCTGTACATAAAATGTTCTTTCTTGTACTGTTGTATTTTTCTGTTGCCTTTTCAAGCATATATTTCAGTTCATTTGTAGTTTGAGTATAATGATTAATATATGATTCAGTTCTGTTTTGAAAACCTTTTTTTTCAATGGTTCTCTCTTGGAACATGTCATCTATTGATGCAACTTCATGGTTTTTATGTGAGGTTGTTGAAACACAAATTTTGCAGATTGGGTTATGACAGTCTTTGCAAAATAGATCACATTTTTGTTTGGAATGTGATTCACATGTTGCGCTCCCAAGTTCAGCTTTAAGAATTATTTCAGTGATATTTTCAGTGCCGCATTTTTCAATGTCAATTTTAGTATGTTCTGACAAAATTTTATTTTTGCTATGGAATTTTAATTCACAGTCAGCACAAAAGTATAAATCACACTCTGAACACATTCACACATCCATTTTAAGACAGAAGAATTGTCACAAATCTGACATTTTGAAGGAATTGTAGAACAACCTTCCCCAGACTTAGAAGAGGCCATTTTTAATTGAATGGAAACATTTTGAGTGACAAACAGTTTTATCTTTCAATATAGGGAGACAAATATGAACGAGGGACAATCTCAAAACTCATGAAAAAATAAAGTAAATTTGTATACTCTTATCCAGGGGTGTTTCGAAGTAACCCCCTTTATAAAAACTTAAAAAATACTTCAAAGATTATCAAACGCAAGACTCAGATGGAGGTTTGACTACATGTATTAAAGTCATCACCACCCCCACCGAAAAAAACAACAAACAAAAAAACCCTCCCTCTAGGTACATCCTGGCTACAGGCTTGATTTGAATATTTTTTTTAGCTTCTCATTTATAACAACAGGCATTGAATACTGTGCAGCTGTCAAAAGATACTAAATCGTTTGATTTCTAAAGAAAGAAAATAATGTTTTGTACAATTATTGACATATCTTGAAACAGTCCCTCTATAAGTTTGTATCATACAGATCCTTTGTACAAAGGTTTAATGTGTAATCTTACAACTTTTATCAGGTATAAATATTTGCTAACTTAGTAATTTTGTTATCTTGATTTTATACTGTGGTTATGGATATAATGATATGTCTGCCACCTAGGTCTCATTTATTATCGAGCCTGTCACATTTATGAGTAAGACACAGCGCTCCTAGATTCCGTTGCCATCAACATATAGGGTTAGTCTGGGGTTAAGTCTTTTTTTAATAATCAATAACATTGTCAAACCTTTATGGAATTTTCCGAAATTTTGATAAGCATTTTTATGACAAAACATGGCTAAAGACAGTATCCAGAGCAAATTTAGAAATTATTCATTTATTTATTTTTGGAATTTTACTGACTTTTTGCAGTAAATATTGACAGACAGTTTGGGATAAGAAATTTTTTGACACGATGAATGTTATGAATTTTGGAGAGAAGCTTATCTGAAAGATCAAGAAATAGCAGCTAAAGAAAATTTACTTTTTTGGTTTAAATTCTGTATTATTAACAGACTCAACATTACACTTTACACTGACAGCAGCAATCACAGGAGAGACACAGGATTTCATGGAACTCTTTACAAATTTTTGATATGCAGAACAGCAATAACAATAATGGTACAAATTTTAATGCACCAGATGAGCATTTTGGCCATCAATGTCTCTTCAGTGATGATCAAGGCCAATATATATTTGAAAATTCAAAACCTTATACAAACAAATGTTGAAGATAGAGCTGATAAAACCAAACAGAATGAATAGTAAAACCAAATCTGAACAAGGAAACAGAGCTATGCATGAGGGAGATCCATTCCTTAATTTAAAATGATTTCCAAAAATTTATTACAGCAAATTTCAATAAAACAATATCAGATTCTGTATTTACATTCCAGTACAGAAGTACATGTACTCGTGATACCCTCTGGAACAAACAGTCCACCAGCAGAGGTATTGACCCAGTGGTAGTTATAACATTACTGGTAAAAATGTTACTGCACCAGATGTGCAATTCGACATTGAATGTCTCTTCAGTGATGCTCGAGGCCAATATAGTCTCTTCAGTGATGCTCGAGGCCAATATAGTTAAAAATCAAAAACCTATTACAAAAGTTTGAAGAGCTGATAAAACCCAAACAGGACGAAAAGTAAAGCCATACTTTCCAAAATTTTGTTACAGTGAATTTCAATAAAACAATATACATATTTACATGCCAGTACAGAAGTACATGTACTGGCTACTGGGTCGGTGATACCCTTAGGGACTAACAGTTCACCAGCAGATCTAGAGGTATCTACCCAGTGGTAGTATTAAATAACATTAATGGTACAAATTTTGCAACACCAGATGCACATTTAGACAATCAATGTGTATTCAATGGCTACTATGCTGTGATACCCTTATCAAGTATTGCACTGTTTCTTTGCTTTGTGATTTGTGGAAGTGAATGAAGGTATGTTGTGTCATTGAATTAAAACAGCATTTCCTTTTTATGTAAAAATAAAAATAAATGGGGAATGTGTCCATGGGACACAGATGATGCCCCTGCTTGCATAAAACCTTATAAAGGGACATAACTCAAGAATGATAAAAGTGACGCTACCCAACTTCATACTTGATCTGAGTTTTGTGGTAATAAGCATTGTGTATAAGTTTCATAACATTTGGTTGAGGCAAACTTAAGTTAGAGAACGGAAATGAAAAATTCAGCACTTTTTCCATTTGTAAAGGGGCATAAATCTAGAAAGGTAAAAGTGAAGCCACCAAAATTCAAACTTGATCTGTGTTTTGTGGTAATAAGCATTGTGTACAAGAATCACAACATTTGGTTGAGGCCAACTTAAGTTAGAGAACGGAAATGAAAAATTCAGCATTTTTTCCATTTGTAAAGGGGCATAAATCTAGAAAGATAAAAGTGAAGCCACCCAAATTCAAACTTGATCTGTGTTTTGTGGTAATAAGCATTGTGTATAAGTTTCATAACATTTGGTTGAGGCAAACTTAAGTTAGAGAATGCAAACGAAAAATTCAGCAATTTTCCCTATTTGTAAAGGGCATAACTCTTGTAAGGTAAAAGTGACGCCACCAAATTCAAACTTGATATGTGTTTTGTGGTAATAAGCATTGTGTATAAGTTTCATAACATTTGGTTGAGGCAAACTAAAGTTAGAGAACGGAAACCAATTTCGTAACGTAGGGACGTACGGACAGACAGACAAGGGTAAAACTTAATGCCCCCCCCTCTGCTACTGCGGGGGCATAAAATTATTGTATAAGAATAGAAAATATTATAAAAGGAAAAAAAAATTGGTGTACAAGCAGAAAACATTGAAAAATTAAGAAAAGAAAAGAAAACTGCCCATTTTTTTAAATTTCAAAATCATATGCATTATGTGAACTCAAGAATGTGAATTTTAACATATGGCCGATATGTGTTACGATGGTTCTTTTCTCCTACATATAACTTCATTTCTTTGTCAACAGCTAAGCTTATTTCTGTAATGTCTTTAATGTTAAAATTATTTGACTTTGTAATAACACTACCATTTTGGGATAGAATATGGAAAGCACGTCCAGCTGACACAACTAAAAGACAACCTGCAGTATTCATCATTGCTATTTCTGTAGGACGAAAACCATATTTCTCTTCATATGTCCACATAAGTTTCCCTTCTTGATCTATATTCACAATTCTGCCATCATATGTTCCATGTTTATTTTTTGTAAGTATGTCAATAAAACTGATTGACTTGTCTGGATTTGTTACTATTCTTGTAGGACATGTGCATAAACAGAATTCTTTTGAATGGGATTTCTTGTCATATTCATATGTCCTTTTAACACTTCCTTCAGAATTCAGAACCACAATTTTTCCTGGTTTTGAGATTTCCTCTTCTCTGTCTGGCAATCCAGTACTTATCCCAACAAGAATTTCATTATCTTTGTTTACATGGATACCAAATGTTTTCAGTGGGGAAAATGAATGAAATGGTTCTATGGTGTCCTTTTCGCTAAACAATTTTAATTGGCTTTCTTGGACAGAGATGATAATATCACCATTTTGCACCTTGGCCATGTCATATGCTCTTGTTTCAGATAATGTTTTCAAAACTTTTATATCCTTATTGTCAAAATTAATTTTCTGAACAATTTTATCTTTTTCACTCGCAATTAAAGCCTGATTATTGTCCAGTAACAAAACTTTGGATACATCTTTTAGTTTTGTTGGATAAGATTTTTTCATTTGAAATGCTAGACCTTTTTCTTTCTGAAGGAAATGTTTTAATATCTGTTGGATGTCATTTTGTGTTATTTCATATTTTGGATTATAAGAAATTTGTTTTAGAATCATTTGGTGAATTGATTTCTTTGGTGAATGCTTATTTTCAGAGGAAGGATAAAGTCTGGTTAACATTTCAGTAGGAGATGAAACATTGCTGAAAGTTTCTCTTTCTTTTTCAATTTGATCCTTTATGGTTTTCATTACATTTATCTCTTGTGTTAATGATCCTTCTAAGGTCTTCCATTCAGAATCAACTTCATCTAAAAGAGCTTTTGTATTTTTTTGAGATTCTGTAATTAAATCCGTTTCTTTTGATAACAATATGTCCTTTTGTTCACTGTATCGTTTCATTCCACCGTCAAGAATCTGTTTTAGTTCACTTTGGACCTGTGAACAAAAAAGAATATCTTTTTGGACCCTTTTATGAAAATCTTCCATTTCATATAGTTTTTCATCATAAACATCACTAATTGAAAAAAGCTTATGTTCTTCATGTGAATTTGTTAATACACAGTTTGTGCATACTGGTTGCTGACAATTTTGACAAAACAGAACACAAATGAGATCGGAATGTAATTTACAGTTCATATTCTTAAGTCCTGCTTTATGAATCGCTTTAGCAATGTTCTCCTTCCCACATTGTTCAATATCAATTTTGTTATGTCCTGCTAAGGTCTTGCTCTTTTTATGAAATTTCAATTCACATTCTGCACAAAAAGATAAATCACATTCGATACACATCCATTTTATGTTTGAAGATTCATCGCACATTTGACACAGAGAAGGGATTTTTACCTCCTTATTCAATGGAGATTGTTTCAATGCCATGATGTAAAAGGAGTCAATGACAGATTTGACAGTCTTCGATTGATTTATTGATTATTTCTTTATTTCCAATAGCAAATATTACATCCACATTGAGGACAATTTCAGTTTTTGACTGTTTAATCTGAAATTGATTGAAAATCATGTTTACAATATTACATATCAAAACATAGTTAGATATAAACATTTTTAAATGTTTCAAAGAAGATTTCTTTTCAAAAAATGTGCTATGTTACTTTTCTACTTAGTTGTTATTTGTTTTACATGGAAGAGTACATTGTATGAAAAGTTGTCTTTCAACGCAAGTTTACTTTTAAATGAAAAACATATCATAAATTCAATCATTTATTTTAACTAAATCAATGAATTGTCAAGCAATAAACTAACAATATGAAAAGAAGTAAATCCTATACTCTGTCCAAAAAAATGTTACCTGTATGAAAATACATTCAGAAATAGAGTAAAAATTTTGATAAGATTTTTCTGAAAAACATTTCACAACATCCATTAGATAAAAATGTGTATATCATTTTCTTATGAAATAACTTTTGAGATTTACCTTTGATGTCATATGACATGGAGGTCCATATAGTCCTTGACTGGGCTTGATCACATGAATAAGTATATATGACACTGCATGAAGTTCAATTTTGTCCCATGAACATATGATAAAGTTTATTTGAAGAATATGTTAGAAATAGTTTTTATCATTTACTGATTAAAACAAATGTGTCAAATTATTGCCTGTCCAAAGAGCAAATTAGAAATAGGTTGACTTTCAAAGATTGAAAGGTATGAGGTAGATAAATATTTTATTTTTATTTTGCATTCCCTATTCCTTGCTCCTTGACCTTGCACGATCACATGAATAAGTATATAGGACACTGCATTAGGTCCAATTTCGTCAAATGATCACATGATAAAGTACAATATGTTAGAGATAGTTTTTATCATCTATTGATTAAATCAGATGTTTGAGGCCAACCTAAAGAGCAAATTAAAATTGGTTGAATTTTAAAGATTAAATTAAGGTATTAAGTAGATAAGGCTATATATAATCTACTTTAATTTTATGTTTATTTTGAATTAATCTCAAGGCCATCAGCTGAACACTGCACAAATTTTATATGTAACACATTTAGTTTTAATACAACACTGTTTTTGCAGGAATATCTGAATTTTCATACTTTTTAACTATTATATAAAATTGTGGCAATGTGGTCACTATCTATCTATTTACTCTTCACATGAAAATCTTATAATATGTCTAACCCCCAATGGTGACTGGGGAATAGAAGTATGGTCACCATTGGTCTTCCTTCGACCAGCATTAAAACCCTTGTCAAAGTGGGGCGTCCGTTTGGCTGTGCTGGATGTATAAATTTGCAGCCACGTCTGGTCAGAATGGGGACGTTAAATCCGATACCCGTGTAAAGAGACTGCCATGCTCTTTGCACGTTAAGAACCCTGGCAACAACTCTATGAGGGGTCCGTAGGTGACCTGTTGCAAGGCTAAATTTCTGTCCCTATCCAATATACCATCATTTCCCGTGGCAGTCTGAATTTCCCCGACCTAAATCCTTGACGCCTCTATTACAGAACCTTAGTAACCTATTGTATTTATTGTTAATTTGTTCTCGTCCTGAATATGCATGAAATATTTGCCACTGGACGTTAAGCAACCAACAATCAATCAATCAATATAATATGTCAATATTCCACAACAGACTATTAATTCTCAAATGACAACGTTTTAATGAAAAAAGCAACAATCATTAGGCTGAATACAACAGCTGCAACTGGAATGATAATTTAAAAATAGGGGTTATTCTACAGGTTACCTTATTAGATATACTGATGTATTCTTACATAATTTCTTGTTTGAAATATATCTTACAAATATGGTGATATGCCCATGATTATCTAGATTTGTTGTATTCTGAATTATGTGGTGAAATTGTATCATATTTAATGCACTTGTTAAATAATTCTCTGCATGTAATTCATATTAATATTCCTGCGTTATATGTATTTTTGTACATTTAAACATTAACAGCAGTTGTTAAATATGCATTCCTGTTTGGCATTTATCATCCGGACATGGCCACTGTGAGTTGTTGTTAGCTGTATTTCTTTTTGTATCCATCTGATGAGTTAAGCCTTTTTCAACTCATTTTAGTCTTGCTTGAAGGAGTCAAAAAGGGTGACATAGGTATGCTGTTTCCGGTGTTGGCTGTGGCGGCGTAAACAATGTATAAGTTTGTGATTAGGTCTAGTTTATGGTAAGTAAAAGATATTTGGTATACAGTTGTATAAGTATTGGCACATCTCATTACCATGGAGTTTAATTGGCCGCCCCCTCAGTTATGGTCTATTGACTTTAAATCTTTTGCTATGTTTTCAAGTATTAGTTTGTGATTAGGTCAGTTTATGGGGAACCACTAGTGGTAAGTTAATGAGAATTGGTATGCGGTTGTATAAGCATTGGCATATCTCATTTCCATGGAGATTATTTGGCCCCAGCCCCTCAGTCATTGTCTATTGACTTTGAAATTTGTGCTTAGTTTTCATGTATTAGTTTGTGATTAGGTCGGTTTATGGGAACCACTAGTAGTTGGTCAATGATATTTGGTATGCAGTTGTATTAGCATTGGCACATCTTATTACCATGGAAATTATTTGACCCCGCCCCCTCAATTAGGGTTTATTGACTTTGAAATTTTGCTTAGTTTACATGTTTTAGTTTATATTTAGGTTTGTTTAAAGGGAACTACTTATGATAAGTCAATTGTATTTGGAATGCAATTGTATTAGCATTGGCACATCTTATTTCCATGGAGATTGTTTAGCCATGTACCTTCAGTCATGGTTCATTGACTTTGAATATTTGTAAAACTTGCATGTTAAAGTGTTGCTATATTATTTTCAACATTTGCAAAATCGAAATTTCAACAAAGCGAGACATATCTCTATGATAACAGTTTATTGTAGTTTGTTCTTACATTGTACTGTTATATCACTGTCACAGGTTAGGGAACGTTGAGGATCCTGCTGACATGTTTAACCCTGCCACGTTATGTATGTATGTGCTGTCCTAAGTCGGGAGCCTGTAATTCAGTAGTTATCCTTGTGTTATATATTTGTTTTTTGTTAATTAGTTTGTACTTAAATTAGGCTGATTGTTTTCTCGTTTGAATTGTTTTACATTTGTAATTTCAGAGTTTTTTTTTATAGATAACTATGCAGTATGGGCTTTCCTCATTGTTGAAGGCCGTACAGTGACCTATAGCTGTTAATTTCTGTGTCATTTGGTCTCTTGGGAGGAGTTGTCGCATTGGCAATCATACCACATGTCCTTTTTTATACGACCGCAAAAAAATTTTTGTGGTCGTATATTGGTATGACGTTGGCGTCGTTGTCGTCGTCGTCCGGCGTCGTCCGAAGACACATTGGTTTTCGCACTCTAACTTTAGTTTAAGTGAATGGATCTCTATGAAATTTTACCACAAGGTTCAATACCACAAAAGGAAGGTTATGATTGATTTTGGGGGTTATGGTACCAACAGTAAAGGAATTAGGGGCCAAAAAGGGGCCAAAAATAAGCATTTTTGTAACTTGCAGACATAACTTGTGTGTTAGTGTATGGATCTCTCTGACATTGTACCACAAGGTTCCATATCACAAAAGGAATGCTGGTATTGATTTTGGGGGTTATTGCCTCAAAATTTTAGGAATACGGGGGCCAAAAAAAGGGCAAGAACAAGCATTTTTCTAGTTTCATGACAATAACTTGTGTGTAAGTGTATGGATCTTTCTGAAATTGTACTGCAAGGTTCCATATCACAAAGGTAAAGCTGGAATTGAGTTTGGGGGTAATTGCCGAAACGTTGAGGAATTGGGGGGCCAAAAAGGGGCCAAAAAAACACATTTTTCTAGTTTCCAGACAATAACTTGTGTTCAAGTGTATGGATCTCTCTGAAATTGTACTGCAAGGTACCATACCACAAAGGGAAGGCTTGGATTGAGTTTGGGGGTGATGAATCATAAGGGGGTTCAAAAAATTTGGGGGGGTTATTTTTTTTTTTTTTCCTTTTTTTTTTGTTTTAAAATTTTCCATTTTAAGTTGGTTATTTCTGATTTATATTTAAAAGCAAATAATAATGATATGGTAGGAGATACACACCAAACAGGATGTGTAAATTATTATATAATAAGTATTGTGCAATAGCAAGAAATTTTCAATTGCACAGTATTGCACAATAGCAAGAAATCTTCAATTGCACAGTATTGCGCAATAGCAAGAAATCTTCAATTGCACAGTATTGCGCAATAGCAAGAAATCTTCATTTGCACAGTATTGCGCAATAGCAAGAAATATCCAATAGCACAATATTGCGCAATAGCAAGAAATTGTCAATTGTACAGTATTGCGCAATAGCAAGAAATATTTAATTGCACAGTATTGTGCAAAAGAAGTTACTTCGTATAAATTGCTTATTTCTTGACCAATTTCAATGGGGTTTTATTCTTGAATTCTTGGGGTTCTTTAATATGCTGAATCTAACCGTGTATTTAGGTTTTTGGATTTTGGGCCCCGTTTTTAAATTGGTCCACATTGAGGTCCAAAGGGTCCAAAATTAAACTTTGTTTGATTTCATCAAAAATTGAATTATTGGGGGTCTTTGATATGCCGAATCTAACCGTGTATTTAGATTCTTAATTTTTGGTTCCGTTTTCAAATTGGTCTACATTAAGGTCCAAAGGGTCCAAAATTAAACTTAGTTTGATTTTAACAAAAACTGAATTCTTAGGGTTCTTTGATATGCTGAATCTAAACATGTATTTTGATTTTTGATTATGGGCCCCGTTTTCAAGTTGGTCCAAATCGGGGTCCAAAATTAAACTTTGTTTGATTTCAACAAAAATTGAATATATGGGGTTCTTTGATATGCTGAATCTAACCATGTATTTAGAATTTTGATTTTTGGGCCCCATTATCAACTTTGTCCACATTGAGGTCAAAAGGGTCCAAAATTAAACTTTGTTTGATTTCATCAAAAATTTAATTCTTGGGGTTCTTTGATATGCTGAATCTAACCATGTATTTAGATTTTGG